CACCGTGCCCAGCCAGACTTTGTACATGGGGCCGCCCCCCTCCGGACAGGTCAACCGGTTGAGTGCGTCCTGCTCCGATGTGCCAGTCTGGCGATGGTGATAGCGCCTCTGTCCAGGGAGCTGCGGGGTGGGCGCGGGAGAGCGCTCGGTCCGCGAGCCACCTCGGTCGCGGGTTCTCTCGTCCCTCGCGGGTCCCCGGGCTGGATCTCTACTGTGGTCGGCGTCGGGCGCTTCCTCCCCGGCCGAGGTCGGGGCATCCTCGCGGCTGGAGTCGGAGCTGTCCGCCGATGGGCTTTGCTGAGACGCCTCGTCGCCTGGGCGCCTTCTATCGTCGTCCGAGGCCGAGTCCGAGCAAGTAAGAGGACGAGGGGGCCCGTCTTCTCCGAAGTCGGGAGACTCCACCTTTGTAGGGGGGATCCCGTCTTCCGCGCTCTCGTCGTTGCCGTTGTGGTCGGGCGGGTCCTGGTGGCCCATGCGCGAGTCGTTGTCCATCGTGCCCTGGGACTTATCTGTGTCGGCAGCCATGGGAGTGTCTGGTCTGTCGTCGCTCATTGTCAACTCGCCTGGTGGGGGAGACTCGGCCAAGGAGGTGATGGATGCGGAGGCGAGGGCATCGGCACTGAGGCTGAGTAGGAACCCCGTCAGCGTGCTGATCTCATGTCGGATGGGAAAGAGACCACTTGCCGGGGCCAGCGTCGCCGCATAAATCCTCCAGGGCTCTTTCTGTCTCTCGCCGTTGGTCAGGCGTGCTACGACTCGCGCCACGGCCACACGCTTACCTTCCCAGCGCTGGTTGGGAGGGAGACAGTTGTCCGGGATGTGGTCACCATATATAGTCCTGAGGAACTCTGAGAGGAACTCGTCGGGCAAGGAGGCCTCGTCGTACCTGGGCTCAGGGGCACTTCTGTCGCGATTGGCGATGCAAAACTGCCTCCAGGTGTAATCCAATCCAGGATGGAAAACGCGGAGGAAGGTTACCAGCAGTCGCCGTGCGGACAATCCACCGATCCCAGGTCTGCTGGGGTCCTCGGCGCTTAGGGTGGGATTATAGACGCTCCTCTTGCTCAGGAGCGGGCCTTGTGGTGCTGGCAGGTCTGGCAAGAGCTCCAAAAGCTGGGCGAGAGACCTAGGAGTCTGCTCTGACGCTGCACCAGTGCTGCCCGCAGCGATGGATCCAGGGGGATTGCTTGCTCCAACCTTGGTGAATCGGTCCTGGACCTTGGCGTCCACGCCTAGCCATGGGAGAGAATCAGAAATGTCCACAGGCGCTTCGAATCCAATCTGGCTGCTGAGCGAGGGAAGGACTGGAGGCTTTCCTGGATGCAGAGGTCTGAAGTCTCGGTCCAGGATGTGATCCAGGGTGGCCGGGCCTATGTTCCATATCGGGGCCAGGCAGCGTCGGCAGCGCCATGTAGCGTTCCATTGGCGCCCCCACCAGGCCAGGGCCCGCTTGTCGATGGGGGGCAGTCCAGCTTGCTCGGGAACGCCTATGCCTTCCGCCGGCTTCCATATGAAACATCCCAGGGGCGGGGGGCCAGGGTCCCAGACGAGGAGCGGGGCCCCCTGAGGGCATGTGTCGCACCGCGCGGAGTAGGTCAGTGTCTGCGCAGCTTTGAGGCCGAAGCGCTCGTCCCGGATCCGTAGGATGGGAATGGTGGTATTGGCTCGCTCGGGGATCTTCATGCCCGTCGGCTCCATGAGGAGGTCCGCTAGCGTCCTCGTGTCCGCCAGGGGGCTGCATCCAAAGCCAAGTGGAAGGTGTCCCAGGGAAGGGGGGGCGCTCGCCTTGTCGTTGTTGACGCCCGTCCTCTGCTGCTCATGCTCCTTGACTCTGTCGGCGAATTTCGCTCCTGCCGGCGTTGGGAGGCCCTGTTCCTCCAGGTGGCGTAACCAGCAGATGTCGCAGTGCCACCCCATGTTGGCGCCGTTGATGTAGGCCTGAGGCCTATTCTGAGCGACCATCTGGCGCGTGATGTCGGAGATCCAGGTGCCATCAGCGGAACTCAGATGGTCCTGTCCGCACTTGTCGCACATGAATCTGCCGTTTTTCTGCTCGAGTGCGAGCCTCTCGTCGGGGATGTATGGAGGGTCCAGCCTGGTGCCTGGGGCGGGGGTCGGCGGCGGGGGGGCATTGAGGTCGGTGTTGGACAAGGCAAGTCCGCCGCCGATGTAGGAGAGACCCGCAAGCCGATCGTCAGGACCCAGGGAGGCGTCGGTCCCCGCCAGCGCGACGTGTAGCGCACGCACTGAGCAGCCGCGTGTATCCAGGGAATGCAGAGTTGCGGCTGGGACGATTTGTTCGAGGACGAGCATAGGTGCTTTTAACTGAAAGTCTTGCCTGCCCATCTCGCTCCAGGTCTGCGGGCAGCCGGCTTCCTGCGCAATCGGGTGGTGATGCGCCAACGCCACGAGCTTGGAGATGTTGGGAAGGACCGCCTCGATGCGGCCGTGTAGGTCGGCAAGGTCGTCCAGCGTGAGGCTCCAGGTTCGGGCGAATTGGCTTCGGAAATCCTGGTGAACCTCTTGCCAGGGGACACAGAACCCCAGGATGGCTTCGATGACGTCCCCGGCCTGCTCTGAATGAGAGAAGGGCCACAGAAACACTCGCGGCTCGCGGAGCATGAGCATCATGACGACCAGAAGCGACTGGGCCTTGCAGGATTCCATGGGGAGGCCGTCGGTGTCTATGATTCCCTCACGGAACTCGTCCATCATGGAGCCGCCCAGAGCGCCTCGGAGGATCTCTCCCAACCCGGCCATTCCAGGGTGCTTCCTGTGTCTGCAGCAGTCCTTGGTGGCGGTGCTCCACGCCTTGGGGACCTGACGGAAGAGCCCTTTGGGGGTGCACTGGCGACGCTTCCAGAGTGTTACGCGCCTGCCACTGGTGTGAGGCAGCGGAGGAAGGGAGTCGTCGGGGACTGCGTAGCTCGCGTTTTCCCAGGGGGTGCCCAGGCCGAGCGTCCACATCATTGCCGCCCACAGCACGTTGTAGACTAGATTGGTTGCGTCTAGCCCCAGAGACATGTCAAACAGGAAGCCCAAGTGCGACCAAGCCTTGCGGTCGAGCATGCCCGGCTGTCGCGGTGTCGCGGCCAGTGAGAATTCGTGGGGGTGCAGCCCGGACATCAGGTATATGAGCACGTGAAAGGCAGGCGTCGAGAGGATATCGTGGAGCCCTCCCGAGATTAGCGAAGCGTCTTGAATAGTGGTGTGCTGCTGCCTTAGCGAAATCTAACAAACGAAACACTTGAGCCATTCGCTCGCATAGTCCAGCGCAAACGCGTACTCATCATGAGGATTCGCGACGCACTGATCACGCAGCGGCGTATAAAACAGTCGAACGATTTCACAACAGTCCGATCTTTGACGTGCTTTCCATACACTGGCACACATGCTTGGAACCTATTTGTGAGTTCACTTTTCCGAGCCCGTCAACAACCTTGACGTGCGTGTTTTGCTGCACGGTCAGGGCTGCGCACAAATTCTAACTAGGACTCACGCACATTTCTGCTGCCATGCATTCGATTGCATGGCCACCTTCCCTTTCCAATCGAAGGCATGGACTCGATTTGGAGGCAGCGGGGGGGTCTGAATTGGTTGGGACCACGGAGTCGGTCAGGGGGGGGGATGAAACTACATCCGCTCAAAATCGATCCGGTGCAACTTAGCAACCCGGATCAATTCTTCAGTGTCCAGGGGCCCGAAAACGGCCTCCAGTGGTCCAAGAAAGCAAAAAAGACTTGATCAAACCGTTGGATAAGGAACCCAGGGTCCAGAAGCCAGTCGGGCTCCAATCGTGGAGTGGTCATGGATACCGCTGCCGCCCTCATTAGATGAGGACTCCCCCAAGGTCCGAAGCCTCCTGGGCACGTTCCTTACTCAACGTCCTCACCGTGCCCACATCGCTGGTCCTGGCATGGCCGATCCTGCCCAGGATCGGTGTATTCGGTCCAGCGTGCGAAACCATGCATGAATCTTCAAAGGAGCAAGACGGTCGGGCAACGTGGTCCGTTGAGCCATGCTGAAGAATATGTATGACAAGACGCACAGGGCGCACTTTCGAACCAATATGCGCCCCTAGACGCCCGCTGCTAACACATCATGTGCAGCATCGCTTTCGGACCTAACTTGCGCGACATGAGACGGGTGGCTCTCGAGTTGGCATCTTCATCCCATGTGCGAGCACCATCGTACAATCCCAACAGCGCTTCAGGGCGTGAGCGGTTTAGCGGGTTTCCTCTTCCAGCCCTGTTCTTCCCACTTCGGGGATGGGGTTTACCCCTCCCCCTGCCCCCTACTCCTGGGTCTGGAGCGGGGGTTTCGCGACCCATGGGAGCGTCCAAGCAAGCCTCGGCGAGAAGGAGGAACTAATTGATTTTACTATGGGTTTGGGTCAATTCATTGGATCCTCCCTTTCTTTGGTCGATCTCCTCCGAGATGGCCCCAAGATGGCCCCTGAGGCTCTCAAGAATGCCCCACGAGGGCCCCCAGGCCCAAGAGACCCCCAAGAGGCTCCCCCGAGGCACCCGTGATGCTTCAAGAGGCCCCCTGGAGCCGCCGGGAGGCCCCGAAGATGCCCCAAGAGGCTTACAAGAAGCTGTCAAGAGTCCGACAATTATCCAAGAGGCATCTGGCCTTTCTGCTCGCCCTCCTCCTCCTCCTGCTCCTGTTCCTCATCCGCCGGATCCTCCCTGGTCCCTCCTCCCTCCTCCCTCGGCATACGCATCCGCGTTCAAGCTCGTGCCCACCATCTCCTCTCCCTCCCCCTCCCCTTCTTTCTCCTCTTCCTCCTCATCCTTCTCCTCTGGTTCTTCCTCCATTCTCCCCCTCTTGGGGTATGACGGCTCCCCAGCCTTTATTCCACTGCATGCCCCTCCACATCCCTGATCAGGGCAACTCGCCTTTCATCGTTTCTGGATGGGCAGTCGTGCTAGCAAACTGCTAGCAAACAAAAAAAACAAGCCAGAGTACGGGCCGATGGCTTGCAGCCCCCCGGGCAC